TAAAAACCCTTTGGAATTAAGCGAGACACACGCACGCAGTTTAAGAAAGAAAAAAAAAAACTGGATAATGGTTATTTGTCCGGTTTTGTTTTTATCGGCGGAATTGCTTGTTAGAGGAGAAATGTATAGTGAATTGGATAGTGAATTTTCTTTGACGGCATAAACGAGTTAAGGACGTTAACGTGATTGAATGCGACTGATAGCAATTTAAAAACAAAAAATATACATCGTCGTTATACAAGGCCTAAGGAAAAAAAGGCCCTTCAAAATGCCCACCCCGGGAGCAGTTTCGTAGTCTCAACACGCCCCGGGACGAGTTTATGCCTCACTTCTTGGTAAAAAAATAAGACAGCTCTGGATAATCAGCCCTTCAAAAAAAAAAAGTAATTTCAGTGAAATTAACCTAATTGTTTTATTACAATTCAAGATGTTCCCTAGCGTATATTAAAAAATTTCACTCAATTATGTGAAGTTATGAGACTTATTGAGATAAGATACAGTGAAAAGTTTAGCTTTCTATTTATAATAGAAAAGAAGTTATGCCCTTTGTTACATGGAGAGTGTGATGAGATTGCCTATTTGTTGCGTGAGCGATTATTGCAAAAGGGGGAGAAAGAAGAAAAGAAGAAAGAGTTGAAGAAGGGAAAGGGGTGAAAGAATGGAGGGGATGATAAAACTCCTGAAGGTGGCCGAAAGGAAACCAACTTGTAGGGCAGCTCCGACTAGCCAGATTAAAGGTAGAGTGGTCTGGGTCAAAACTAAAAGCGCCACCTGTTTTCAGCCCTAAAGTAAATTGGTTCCTGAATGCGAAAAATAATAAAACAGGAAACAGCCTAGAACATACAAAGTAATTAAATCAACACAGGAAAGCAAGGAGAACAAAAAGCAGGGCATCAATAAGTGAAATCGCCTATTAGCATGCGAGGACTCGTCGATTCGCAAATGCAGTCAAAGTCAGCTGTAAAAGGGACAAGAAATGAAAATAATCGAAATCAAATATTCTCTGATATGGTTTATATACTTTCTTCCAAAAATGCAAAGTATACAATATACCAAAAAAAAGGTGCAATATTTATCAGTAAATTATTAACAATACTACCTATTCTATTGCCTTAAAACCATACTAGGTATACCTACCATTTTATTAAAACTTTATAACCTTATTTTAGTCATTAAAGATCTCAAAAATCAATGTACAAATCAATAGTCGTTTACCCTCGAAATAGGCCTATTTTCCCGGTGTACAGTTATCCCGATGTTAAATTAGGCGTAAAGTAGTGTACTTAAAGTGCAAAGTTATACAAGGATGGATAAATCAGGTAATAATTGTAATAGGCCAAAAATAAAACAACAAATTTCTTAAAGGTTATTATAGGCCTCTATCCAGCTATGGAATTTCTTAGCCCTTGCTTCGCTGAACAGTGCTACGTCGCGAAACTGACGTAAGTTTATATTTTGGCTACAGAACGTCACTCTTTATCTCAGCTGGAGTGTAACCATATAATTTCAGGACCCAGGACAACACACACAAGTGATCAGACTGACTTACAGATTGAATCCTCAAATACGTGTTGGTTACCAGTCTTACAGAGACCAGGATGACTTCTGACTTGGAGTGAGGTCTGGAAACCTTCAAAATCTTTCTGGTTGGCAGGTAATGGGGAGATTTAGGTCCTCTTGAGTTCTGAGGTGGTTGGTGGGCAATCAGTACTTAAGATTGTCGAAGGAGATGCCAAGCATTCGATGAAGGGTGAAGACAACAGTAGCAGTGTAACACGAAAAGAATAAGAGGAAAAACAAAAAGGCCAAAATACTTTGACCTTTTCCAGATACAGCATACAAAGGAAAACGGTTAAGTTTGAGGTTTAAACCCTTAAAATTTGACCAAAAATCTGCCTAGTGGCACTGTGATGCTTTAATCTCAGCAAGCAACTCACAAAGGGGATCCAATTAGGGACTCAAAACTTATGGTAAAATCAGCAAAAGCGCTAAGAGAGGAAGCTCACAACGTGCTCTTCAAAAAGCTGCCCTCTTTTTACCAAAAAAAAACCTATCCCTTCCGGAAGCATGGGTGTCCAAATAGGGAATTTTTAAGTGTCACAATTTTAGGTTGGGTACCATGGTACCATCAAGGAAGGGAAAGCAGAAATCTGTAATTGGACCAAAGCAGGGAACTGTTATTATTTATAGTCAAATGTTTAAATAAATAAGCACAATTATTGTTAGGTGGTACTGTGAAAATAAAATCCTGAAAACTGCGTGAGTGTTTATGAACCTTACTGACTCGATTGGTAGATGGAGGTACCTTTATTTTAGGGAGAAAATTAATCCCGTAACACCTTCCAAAGTTTTCGAATTTTCATTTGTTGAGATTTTGTATCCTAATGGTCAATCAACATACTCCAAACTCCATACACTAAATAATTCTCAGATTTGAAGTCGAAATCTTTGAAAAAAGGTACCCAGAAAAATTGAAAAATTGATAAATCACCCCAAATTGCTTAACACGATTTTATCTCAAGAACTATAAGTGCAAATGAGCTGAAATTTCCAGGGATTGTAGTCCTTTGAAAGGCATAAAATTCAGTGAAAGTTTCAGCTTTCTATCTATATCTAATAGAAAAAAAGTTATGACCTTTCAACGTTTTCTAAAATCTAAAATCTAAATCACCTTACTAAAACGATGAAATTTCAAATTTTTTTTTTGTCAAGATTTTGTATCCTAATGGTCAATCAACATCCCCCAAACTCCATACACTAAATTATTCTCAGATTTGAAGCCGAAATCTATGAAAAAAGGCACTCAGAAAAATTGAAAAATTGATAAATCACCCCAAATTGCTTAACACGCTTTTATCTCAGGAACTATAAGTGCAAATGAGCTGAAATTTTCAGGGATTGTAGTTCTTTGAAAGGGATAAAATTCAGTGAAAGTTTCAGCTTTCTATCTATAATAGAAAAAAAGTTATGACCTTTCAAAGTTTTCCAAAATCTAGATCATCGGGTAGGTACCTTCTTACTAAAACGATGAAATTTCAATTTTTTTTTGTCGAGATTTTGTATCCTAATGGTCAATCAAAATACCCCAAACTCCATACACTAAATTATTCTCAGATTTGAAGCCGAAATCTATGAAAAGTGGCACTCAGAAAAATTGAAAAATTGATAAATCACCCCAAATTGCTTAACACGATTTTATCTCAGGAACTATAAGTGCAATTGAGCTGAAATTTCCAGGGATTGTAGTCCTTTGAAAGGGATAAAATTCAGTGAAAGTTTCAGCTTTCTATCTATAATAGAAAAAAAGTTATGACCTTTCAAAGTTTTCCAAAATCTAGATCATCGGGTAGGTACCTTCTTACTAAAACGATGAAATTTCAATTTTTTTTTTGTCGAGATTTTGTATCCTAATGGTCAATCAAAATACCCCAAACTCCATACACTAAATTATTCTCAGATTTGAAGCCGAAATCTATGAAAAGTGGCACTCAGAAAAATTGAAAAATTGATAAATCACCCCAAATTGCTTAACACGATTTTATCTCAGGAACTATAAGTGCAATTGAGCTGAAATTTCCAGGGATTGTAGTCCTTTGAAAGGGATAAAATTCAGTGAAAGTTTCAGCTTTCTATCTATAATAGAAAAAAAGTTATTACCTTTCAAAGTTTTCCAAAGTCTAAATCATAAGGTATGTACCTTCTTACTAAAATGATGAAATTTCAAATTTTTTTTTGTTGAGATTTTGTATCCTAATGATCAATGAATATCCCCCAAACTCCATACACTTAATGATTCTCAGATTTGAAGCCGAAATCTATGAAAAAAGGCACTCAGAAAAATTGAAAAATTGATAAATCACCCCAAATTGCTTAACACGATTTTATCTCAGGAACTATAAGTGCAAATGAGCTGAAATTTTCAGGGATTGTAGTCCTTTGAAAGGGATAAAATTCAGTGAAAGTTTCAGCTTTCTATCTATAATAGAAAAAAAGTTATGACCTTTCAAAGTTTTCCAAAATCTAAATCATAGGGTAGGTACTTTCTTACTAAAACGATGAAATTTCAAATTTTTTTTTGTTGAGATTTTGTATCTTAATGATCAATGAATATCCCCCAAACTCCATACACTTAATGATTCTCAGATTTGAAGCCGAAAAGGGATAAAATTCAGTGAAAGTTTCAGTTTTCTATCTATAATAGAAAAAAAGTTATTACCTTTCAAAGTTTTCCAAAATCTAAATCATCAGGAACTATAAGTGCAAATGAGCTGAAATTTCCAGGGATTGTAATCCTTTTATATAGAGGGTGTTCAAGTATGAGTCATTTGAGAATTTTGATTATTACCGGCGCTTAAATCACTAGACTCAAATTAACCTCAATTTTCATCAACAATTTCCCAGAAACTTAACCTAGAAACACCAAATAGGAAAATCTGTTCGGTTAATAGTTGAAATAATGCCTGATAATGATTCAGCATTACTTTGGACATGCATAATACTGCGATGTTTCGAATATAAATTACATTAATTACTTGGGATGGGCATTATAATTATTTTATAACAAACAAATTAAAATTCAACCTAAGATTATATAACTGCCTTTTTTTTTACCCTACAAATTGAATTCGTTCAGCCTGATTCGTTTACCGTGAAATATTCAAAGTTGGTACCGCCACAGATTTGGTTCACTTAATGCCGAAATTTGTTTACCAAATCAGCGGTACTATCGACTCGAGATTTAAAGGTACCCTTTTGATAAAATATCGAATGTTCGTAAAGGCCGCTCTCTTCGGTACCGAGTCAAAGACCGGACGGTACCTACGAACGAGCGGGCATCTGTTGCAGAGAACCAACATCGGCCATAATTTAATTAAATAACTGATCTGGGTGCCCACGGGTTCTCCGTTCGGGTTGGCTTCTCGGCTGGGCTCTCAGTGTCATTGACAGGGAATTGGTTTTGTATAGACTCAGTAACTTATTTATTTATTTTTTTTTGTTTCAGGTAAGTCCAATTATTGAAGCAACTTACATAAAGTACAATTGGTAAGTTTTCAGAGTAATATACACGATTTCTTTGCTATTTATGCAAATAAACGGTACCTCGAATATTATTAAGTACCACTCAAATCATATTACATAAAAACCGGCGTACCATATAAGATGCAGGTCTTTGCATCTTTCGCTGCTGATGCTGGTACCATCTTAGCAGCATCACTCTCTCCCAAGCCTTTTCCCCCCTTGCGCCCGTATAGGTACCCAATGGCGAAGACGGACAAGTTGTACTTCAGTGAACCGGCTAGCACTGCTCGATGTGGCGCGACTTGAAATAAACGACCGGATTTTTATACCTACTCCAGTGCGGCTTTAGTGTATATGTGATTCGATAAAGTGAAGTTTAGTGGATCAAGCAAAAAATGCTGATTTTTTGCAACTTTTTGGATTAATTAGTCATTAATCTGGATCAAAGCGAAATTGTTTATTTTTGAGTTTAAAGGGTAAAACCAGTTATTGGGTTTGTCAAGGAAACAGATTTTTTTCCCTGGAATTTTCGAATATTTTGAGCTCTCTAGGCACACTAAATCTACTTGAGAAGGTGTATAAACTGACTGGATCTGTCATATACACATTTTCCATCAGAAATTTGAATCCAGTCCAGGTTCTAAAACAGTCATATTATAAATTGAAAGTACTTCTAAAAGAGTAAGGGTTTGATTTTTAAGTATTTTGAGCACTCTGGGCACACTACAATTACTCGAGAAACTTAATTAGTGTATAAAGCTGACTGCTCTAGGACCTATGGTGTGCTCGCTATAACATTCAAATTCAAATTTTTAAATTTTTTCGTCTCAACTTTCAAACTTTCAACTTTAAAAGTTTTTCAAGAAACTGGAACTTGCCCAAAGGCCTCAAAATACGTAAAATTTGTTTCATAAGACTTTGGAAAATCAATTTCGACAATTTGAACCAAGACGCAATTTTTTCACTCTCCAAATAGGAAATTACTTTCCGCTAAGAAGGAAAATTCAATTATTTATCATCAAGGAAAATCATATTTTAAAATATCATCAAATTTTTAATGGATTTTGTGTATAACTGCGGTTTATCAATGTGTAAATTGATTGATATAAACACAAATGCCCACTCTATACAAAAAAAATAGTCAAATATTTACAGATTTTATTAGAATTCAAAGTGCTAACTAATACAATCGTCTCCGGTACCACTGGTACCACTACCAAGAATATTTCAATTTACCATTAACACGGTCATTAATATGCATTTCTCATAATTAAATGGTTCCTAGTATTATAGTCAAATCATTCAAAAGTCGTTTTAACGGTCAATATCCTCTCTGGTAATCGCTGATTATCTTTTCAAAATCGAATTTCGTTTAACGGTTAAACGGAGATGTTGGGCACTACTGCCGTCTGTCGCAAAGTTGTACAGTTAGAGGTGGTACTGCCCAACGATAATGATGATGATGATGATGGCCATTTTATTGTAATCAGCCGTGGCGCGGTTTAATAATGTCTAAATTACATGTAATTAACTTGTTATGTTGCAAAAAATAACAGTATTATATAGTTTGATCCAAAATATTGACAGTGACAGTGTGTAGTAAAGTGATTATATTTATATTATTGGATATACTTCACATTTTAGGGTAAGTAAAACATTATGGCCTTGGAAGGTTCGTTTTTGGTCTGGAGAGACATACAGTTTGACAGACTTATCTTGACTCTTTTATAATGCATTCTTTTTGAAGATCAGATTATAATAGTTGTACTGTACATATTATAGAAGTACATAAAATTTCAATATCGCATATTATAAAACTCGCATTACACTTACTACTAGTATGGCTTTGGGCGACTAGAAAATACACACACATTGTGGGCAAAGCAGATCTCTGTGCAACGGTATACGAAAATTTTATAAAACCCACTTGGTTCAAGCGTGAAATTGCTATTTCACTCCGTCTTTGTTTTATAATAATCGGAAGAGAATAATAATTGAACTCGGATAATTTGTATCAAGAAGCAAAGTAAACATATTCCATTTCCCCCTTCGATAAATCCTCGATCGAAAACGCGATTTACCCTATAAATATGTCGCGTATACGTTTCCCAAGTTTTATGTGTCATCAAGCCAATATAAGTGTTTTGTATTCAGCGACGATTTTCCAGCTTTATGTTTTGGCCCCGGAACGCGTCCGGAATATTTCGTTTGGGGATTTTTCCGCAGAAAAATGACACATAAATGACGATTTCGAAGAAGGAGATTTTTTGTCCGAACGAAATTTGTTGAATAATTGACTTTTTCAGTTAATTGAAGAGACTTTTGGATTACATTTTCTGTGAATTTGTGTCAATTTCATTAATAAAAATTGCACGGATTTATAGAGAATTTAATGCTCTTTTTAATGATGTATAATTATTTCAATTTGCTTAAAATTTACCAAAGATATGGGCAATTGTTCATGACCATGTCAAGATTTTGAAAATTTTCCAATTTATAGTTTTTGAGCAAATTGAGTTTGAAGTTTTTGACAAAATTTGGACTAAAAGTTATTTTTGAGGCTCAATTGCTCAAAAACTATTCGAGCTATTACACTCAATTTTACACGTATATATAGAGAATTTAATGCTCTTTCGAACGGTATATAATTTCTTTCAATTTGCTCAAAATTTACCAAAAATATGGGCAATTATTCATGACCATGTCAAGATTTTGAAAATTGTCCAGAACCAAAAATAGGATTTTCTTTTTATTTTTGCTTCTGCTTGAAATGGGCATTTGGAATTGATGTCAGGGTTGTTTTCCACTAATTTTGACCCGCTCTATCGATTCATAAAGTCAAAATTCAACAAAACTAAAAAATAATAAAATCGAATTTTTCATAAGGGTATCCATTTTGAATTCTGATTTCAAAATATTCAAACCTCAATTGCTCGGTAACCGTTGAGCAAATTGCATTGATCATTATGTTGCTGTGTTAATGTCCAAAAAAGCTCTTTGACATTATAGTATACATTAATTATTGAACATAATTATTTTCAATTGACTGGATAAATTTAATTATAAATAACAAGAGCCGGAAAAATTCTAACAAAAATGAATAATGCGCCATTTGAAAAGTTATAATTATCCCAATGTCCAAAACAGAAACATACAATTCCAATTGAAGCCTTTATTGAATTAATAATCAATGTTTTTCAGTATTATCGATGAAATTAATGGAAACAGAGAGAATTTCTGTTTTTAACAAAGTATTTGCATATAATTAACAATACTAATTAACCATTTAGAGAGGTGCAGCACTTGAAAAACTACTTAAAACAATGCAATTTCCTATTGGCTTAGAAGAAAATTAGTGAAATCAAATGATAATATTAAACCTATCCAAGACTTTTTCACTTATTGGCAGTCGAAATTTATGAAAATTTCAACAGCATCTTATCCATATGGCTTCTAAGAATCAAAAAAGAATTGAAATACTTTGGATTTGGACTTCTCTGCACATGAGATTGTAACGTGACTTATACTATTTAAATCAAAATCAAAACAATCCACTGTTGAAGAATTTACATGTCTTTCATATAAAGACCCCAAAACTGAAAGACTATAGAAAAATCTTACTTTAATTGGACTTTAGGACTGTACAGGGCTTTTCATTACCGTTTGAAACAATAACCAATTAATTCAAATTTACTGCTAGACTTTTATGTAACTATAATCATTATCCTTGGAACTTGTCCTACGCTAGTAAATCGAACCCATTTTTTTTTCCCGAGCAAAAAATCCCATTTGGTGGGTGGGTACCAAGAATGGCTGGGCGACCCAACTGAGTACCGCTATGCAAATTGATTGTAATATAAATGTAATTTATAATCGATCTATTTAAGGTCGAAGGACGAAAATTTAAAAGGTAAGAGATCAATGATAGAGCCACGTACGCTATACGGGGAATCGCTATTAACATTTATGACATGTAGGTACTTCCATCTAGGCATTTTAATAGTCGTTTTAGTATGCAACATGCAGATGCTTCTATTTTTTTTTTTTCGAAATAGTACACCGACATTATGGACTATTTTTTGTTTTGTTTGAGAATTTGAGCTCAATCTGAATTGCAAATGAGCTAATTATAATAAATAATTGTTCTTTTTGTATTTAGGAATTTTGGTTATTGCCCTGACGTTATTTTTGCATGATTTTCAATAAGGAAATGAGCCAAACCGACACACCTTGCTATTGTAATAATGAAGATGACCTTCTATATGTAAACTTAGTTTAATACCAGGCCTCTAGATAACTTTTGAAGATGGCTGTATATTATTTTCTAAAATCTTTGTGCAAACTAAATTCCTCACTACATAAAATGCAAATGACCCGTCCAATAAACACAAGACCTTGATATCCTTCCTACTAAATACCCGAGAAATATGCTCCAGGGTATTTAATCTTGACCGCGTGTAATAACGTTTCCAATTCGAGGATTAAGAAAACAACCTCTATTTTCCTATTTACCGGATGCTTGCGGGTATAAATCTAACAATTTGACTGTCAAGTCAAATTGTTGACCGCAGAATATTACAAATAACGTTGCGACAACACAAAAAGAAACCATTTAAATTGCTTTTGCAACCTTGTGAAACACCATTTAACAATTTATCAAAGTCCAAAGCGATTTTTTTGCAAACGAAATTAAAAGTAGGTATTACTTATGAAAGCGATTTTCATCAATCATTTATAAACACCCACTATGATGGTAAAATATTAACAAATTAATTTAAAACACTTAGGAAAGTGTAAATTTTCGGAAAAAGTACGCCCATAGACAATGCAAAGTTAATGAAGACACAAACAGCTCCAGATCGATATCCTCTCCATATTAGCCCCAGGGTAACTGGGTTTTGCTATTGATATTGTATTTCTCGTGAAGCGTCAATATTTGGCCTGGGGAAATGCCAGGAATATTCGCAAAACTATGATGAAATTCACGTGGATGTTTGCACGAAGGGATCATATTTTTTTAATTGAGAACGTGTTCCAGGATTTTATGAATATCGACCTTTCGTTTCTAGTTTGTTTATGAGTGGGTGAAAATAATCATTAGGGATTTTTTCAATTATCAAAAGTCAGTTTTCATCAACTTCAAATTCACAATAGTCCAAAGTGTCTCTTGTTGACTGTAGTAAACCTCAAGTTTATTTTGACATTTTAGTTATAATTGTTTTGTCTGGAAAGACATTGAATTTTTAGTGATTTTTGTAAAACTACAGATTTATTTCTGGTGAAACTATCGACTTCAAATTCACATCAATTATAGTCCAAGGTGTTTTTTATTAACTTGGAAAAGATCGCAAGTCAATTCTGACATTGAAACTCTTGCTTTATATAGTCCATACGAAACAACCATTTACTCGATAACACACTTTTGTCTCCAATTTCACTTCTGTTCATGTAAGTCCACGTATTATTTTTCTCAAGTGATGTTTTCTCTTCCTCAATTGCTTTTGTCCAATTTTCTTTATCTGGGCTTTTAAGGGCTTCACAATTAACATTCTGGGTTTGGGTCATTTAGTTCATAATCCTGTAGTTTCATTGGTAGTATTATTTCTCTTCCTCTTTTTGTTCTTTTTACACTATTTTCTTCTTGATTTTCTCCTTCGTTGTCATTTTCAATTTGGTTTTCAAAATTTTGATGAATATATACCTACCTTTGTCAAAAATCCGTCTAGAAGAAGATTCTTATTATAGACTCTTAGAATCATCCGACGACTTCTGGATTCTGTTTGTTTACAGAGGGGCTCACCTGAAAATAATAACACAGCGGCAGAAAAAATTGTTTATGTATATACAGGGTGATTAACGTAGCCCGTGCATTGGATTGCAGGTGGATTACATACACCATCTCTATTAATCCACCTGCAATCTGGAAAATTTAATGCACAAAGCAAGAAAAAGTCCTCAAAATTTCAACTCTCCACTCACTTCAGTTTTTGAGTGAAAACATTGTGTGTAGAGTATTACTTTACAAAACATCATTATTTAAAAAAAGTCATAACTCCATTAATAATAACTCAATTCAATGCCTTTGAGTTTTTAGTATTTTTTACAATGAGTCTTTAGGAAAAAGACCTCAAAATTTCAACTCTACACTCACTTCAGTTTTTGAGAGAAAAAATTGTTTGTAGAGTATTACTTTACAAAACATCATTATTTTAGAAAAGTCATAACTCCATTAATAATAACTCAATTCAATCCCTTTGAGTTTTCAGTATTTTTTACATTGAATCTTTAGGAAAAAGTCCTTAAAATTTCATCTCTACACTCATTTCAGTTTTTGAGTGAAAAAATTGTTTGTAGAGTATTACTTTACAAAACATCATTATTTTAGAAAAGTCATAACTCCATTGATAATAACTCAATTCAATTTGAGTTTTTAGTATTGTTTACATTGAATCTTTAGGAAAAAGACCTCAAAATTTCAACTCCTACACTCACTTCAGTTTTTGAGTGAAAAAATTGTTGGTAGAGTATTACTTTACAAAACATCATTATTTAAAAAAAGTCATAACTCCATTAATAATAACTCAATTCAATCCCTTTGAGTTTTTAGTATTTTTTACAATGAGTCTTTACGAAAAGGTCCTCAAA